TTTTAATAAAGATAAAGACAAATGTTCTTCTTTTAGGCATATTTGTATATAGGTCTTGGTGATTCGATCTATTTTTGTATGAGCTGGCAAACGAGCTGATGAATCAGATCACGACTTATTCAAACTTGACTTATTAACTCATCAAATTTGACTCATGAGCCATTAATTTAATGCAGCTCGAGTCGACTCAGGGATAAGCTTGACCAAATTACACCCCTATGAACCACCCTGCCAATGCAAAGAGCCCAACATAACAAATATGCATTGGCTTGACTTAAAATTTATCGACTTCGATCAATTAGAATTTACGCAAGTGTCACACAAGTATCAATAAAAATTTTCTTAAGCATTGGCGGGGCTTTACTAGCGGTTAAAACTAGGGTAAATTGCATTGTTTAAAACCAGTACAAATTCTAGCGGTTAAAATCGATTCAAAATAAGGATTTTGATAGTGGTTTTAAAAAAACTCTTAACATCTGCGGCGAAAAATCTTATTTTTTATAGTGTATGCAGATATCTACATAAAGTTCAAATAATTAGATTTTTTTAGGAAGTATAGCATCACAAAAAGGAAAAAAAAGGCACTTTCTTATAATTTCTGCTTCATATTAAAATTCAGAAGATCTGAAGCATAATCTGCTCCCATACAGAAAGAAAACAAATACACTTCCATATAGTTTATTCAAGAAATTCAGATACATAAATCAATATATATATATATATATATCACTAATATAATTAATAATTAAAATTTATTATCACGAAAACATTAATAATTTTATATTTTTCCAACAAAAATATAATTTAAATTTTGATAATTAATATGAATTCTTATATTTAGATTTTTATTCACATACAATTAATACATGTGCAATAAAACAAAGTATCTTAAATCTCATCTACAATTGGTTTATTTTTTTATTTTTTATATATTTTAGGTTACTATATTGCATCAGAATTCTTTCCATCTTTATGACATACTATATTTTTTTTGAATTGCATTAAGTGCCTTAACAATTTCTATTTATAATTATCCCTTTCCAACATAAAAAGGCACTTTTTTTTAGTAAAATTTCGATTCACAAGATTGAGTAGGGAAAGGGACCCATACAACATCTACAAAAAAGAAAGAAGAAATGTACCAGAAATAATGTTGGGATTTTAAGTCGACAAATTTGGAATACAAAAAAAAAACCCACACAGCACTAAGAAATTCACTAAGAAATTTGTTTGAATTTGTACATATTTCTTTCTTTCTTGCTCTCTACTTGAGATGTCACAGCGGTAGCCTAGGCGGGATGGTGCCACTATAATAGTAGCAGCAGGGGCAAGATGGTGGCAGCCTGGCTGTGGCAATACTACAATGTAGTGATAAGAGAGTAATGCGAGTGACATGGTGATATAGTGAGTGAGACACAACGATACACTGACAGAGTGATGAGATAGGTGACTTGGGATTATAAACTGGTCAATCTCTTTGTTTCAAGTTTAAAAAAAAATAAATTAAAAAAAAGGTTTGTTTCAAGTTTTCATGAAAACCTGAACCTAACCAAATTTTACATATGGTTTGGAGTTACGAACCCAAATCTAAATCATATAACAAGAGTTAACCCATACAAAAAAAAAATTTGGGTATGGTTTGGGTCGGGTTTCGGGTTGTATTACATTTTGATACCCCTGAAAGTGCAGCCCCACTTGCAACAGTACTGTACCAGGTTTAGTGTGCCTCGAGACTCCAATTTATCTCTATAGTATGACTAACATTGTATGGCATCAAAATCTAGAGAACTGCAATGCTCCTCTCTCTGTCCATCTCAAACTTGTCAATCTAGCATTGCAGTGCTATACAGGAATGGAGAAACATTTGGTACAAAATATTATAACCCAAGCACATAGAGAACCCGTGCAACCCCCCAACAAGCTCAACTAACATAATTGAGGTCCCATATAGTAATACAACTTGATTTATCATCACAATCAAATCCTAAACATAGATAAAAATTTATTCAATCTGTTAGTAACATTTTTTATTTTTAAAAATAAATTAGCCATCTTGTAAAAATCTAACTATTCTATATAAAATCCTCTAGTTAATTGATAATTATGCTATGGCCTAAGATAAATTTTCACTCAGAATACTATCAAAAAAATTTTGTGTTCCTTTTTTTTCTTAAAAAAAATAACAAGTTAGGTCAAGGGAAAGCTGGAAGCATATTCTAACTTTTCAACACTCATTATTAGTTGTTATGTTTTTACTTGAGAAAATATAGGGCCAAAAATGACGGCCGACACCTTTCAAACAATTTGGATCTATAGGCATGAAAAAAAATTATAACTTCATATATAATATAAGCTTGAGAAAAAATCAGCATGGTAATATAAGAACAAGCCCAAGCAATAGACATTTGTTTCCTTCTTCATAGGCAAAAACTGTTATTGATCAATTCTCCAACCACCTAATCTTCCCTTAAAACATTACTTATCTTCTAAATAAAATATCTAATAACCCAAATATGTGTAATAATCCATCGCCTATAAAACCCCACCTCCACTTGGTTTACTCGTCCAAGTTATCCTAAGTAGAGCTTCAAAGTTCTATTCTCATGGAGACTTCTTCTTCTTTACTCTCATATTTTATTCTTCTCAATATGTTCTTCATATGTATTCTAATAGAGAAGAGATTTTTAGTATCAGCACGAGAGCTTGTTGGAGAACACCATGTCATTGATATTAAGTCACTGTTGCCGAGCAGCTCCTGCAGCTTTTCGAATAAAAGTTTGTGAGCGATTTCAATAATTTTTTAATACCCTAGTAGAGACTATTTTTTTATTTTAATTCATGTAAAAATTAAGCTCATTTGTTATTTATCACAAGCATAAGCTCATTTAATAGACATCACAAGCTCAAATATGATGCAATAGAAACAAATAACTCAAAACTTTCATTAATTAGTTTTTCAAATTGTGACAGGCACGAGTCCTTCCAAGCTCAATGTGGTCCACCAGCATGGCCCGTGCTCATCCTTGAAACACCAATACAAGCCTTCATATGTCGATCTCTTCCGTCAGGATCAAGCCCGTGTTGAATACATCCAACGCCAGGCTGCCAACACCACCGTTCGCCTAAACCTTGTTGGAGGCTCCCTTTCTGCAGAACTTCCGACAAACATTGATTATTCTCTTGGTGTTTTCAACTATATCGTCAATATTGGCCTAGGCACCCCTACCAAGTTCTTCACACTTATGATCGACACTGGTAGTGATCTCACTTGGACCCAATGTATCCCCTGCATTAACTGTTATAACCAAAAAGACCCATTTTATGACCCGACCCAATCCTCCACCTTCACCACCATCAAATGCTTCTCTAACTATTGTACCCAGCTCCCTCGATTTGGCTGCACACCTACCTTGACCTGTATCTACGAGCAAAAATATGTTAGTCGTGCAATTACTAAAGGTTCCCTCATTAAAGACACCTTAAAATTCTCCGATGATAATATTCAAAACATCCCCTTTGGTTGTGGACATAACAACACTGGATATTTTGGACATGTAGATGGGTTATTAGGCCTTGGCCGAGGTGCCCTTTCAATTATTTCCCTAACTGCTCAATTGTATAATAATATATTCTCATATTGTTTACCATCAGGGCCCAATAATGTTGGATATCTCGAACTAGGTAGCCCAGCTCTTGGTGTGAAGTATACACCGATGCTAACCAACCCAAAAATGCCCTCCTTCTACTTCATCAATCTCACTGCCATTTCTGTTGGGGGAGAAAGGCTCGCCATTTCACCTACTATATTTAGCGGCCCTGGAACTTTGTTAGACTCTGGCACACCATTTACCCACTTACCACCAACTGCCTACTCTGCCCTACGCAGCGTTTTCCGAGAAAAAATGATCAATTACCCAATGGCACCACCACTATCTCAACTTGACACATGCTATGACTTCACTAACTTCGAGCAAGTGGTGTTACCAGAGATTTTGATGATCTATGATGGCGAAGTGACAGCTAACTTAGATTTCTCAGGGATACTTTTGGTGGCCAAAAAGTCTCAAGCATGCTTATCATTCATTGCAAATAAGGATGATAGTAATCTTGTGGTTATTGGTAATATGCAACAACGCAGGTTCAATGTAGTCTATGATGTAGGGAACTTACAAATTGGCTTTGGGCCTAATGGTTGTAGCTAGTAATGGATCGATCGAGTTGATTGAGTTAAATGCAATTTATTTATGCAGCTAGAATGAATGGGTTTCATCATATTAGCTATAAAATCAGGGCGTGCGGGATATAAATGTGGTCTTGAAAAAAGTTTGATTGTATCAAAATTTTATGAAATAATTAAATAGCAAATAAAGGCAACTTTATCTATATGTTTACTTTATTTTACAAATTTATAGTGATAGATTTGTTATATGTTGAAATGATCAATTCTTATGTATTAATCATTTCTTATAGAGTAATGTGTCATTTGGATAAAATGATTTGTTTATTGAGATACTTTCATTTCTTAATTTTCCCTGATCATTGTTACTTGACAACTGTGGAACTACCGAACAATCTTTCGACTCATTCCTCTATTAATTGTGTAAGCACACACCTATAAAGTAATAAAAGGA